TGTGTGGTAACTATAGTTGTGTGTGTGTGTGTGGTCACAATAGAAGCTGTCTTGTTTGTGTGTGTGTGGTCACCATAGAAGCTGCCTTGTTTGTGTGTGTGATAACCATAGAAGCTGCCTTGTTTGTGTGTGTGATAACCATAGAAGCTGTCTTGTTTGTGTGTGTGTGGTCACCATAGAAGCTGCCTTGTTTGTGTGTGTGATAACCATAGAAGCTGTCTTGTTTGTGTGTGTGGTAACTATAGAAACTATCTTGTTTGTGTGTGTGTGGTCACCATAGAAGCTGTCTTGTTTGTGTGTGTGTGGTAACTATAGAAGCTGCCTTGTTTGTGTGTGTGATAACCATAGAAGCTGTCTTGTTTGTGTGATGTGGTCACCATAGAAGCTGTCTTGTTTGTGTGATGTGGTTACCATAGAAGCTGTCTTGTTTGTATGATGAATTCACCGTAGAAGGTGTTTTGTTTGTGTGATGCAGTCACTCTGGATAATGTCTTGTTTGTGTGAATAAAGTAGTTTTAGTTGTCTAGTTTGTGTGATGCAGTTACTCTGGATAATGTCTTATTTGTGTGAATAATGTAGCTTTAGTTGTTTAGTTTGTGTGATTCAGCTGCTGTAAAGTTGTGATTGTGTGATCTCATTTTTGTAGAAGTTGCTCTTGTTTTTGCTTTTATGGTGACTCCTATGTTCCAGTATTGTTGCTTTGCTTGTTTATATAAAAGCTTAATTTGTGAATAACTTACATGGCTTGTGTTTATAATAATGATTCATTTAATTTATATTTTATAAGTAGTTCTGAAGACCTTGTTAGAAAATGTCTATGAATATTACTAGGTAAAAAGATTCAAACTAAACTCAAAAGGCAATAGCAGCATTTCACCAAAGTTACTTCTATATGGCAATTATCTAAAGTCTAATAAAAGTAATACTGGAGAAACATTGTTAATTTGTTTAATTACATTATAACGTACTTGTAAATAAATGAGATTGCTTATTTTTACCTTGTTTACAGAATGATTCAAACAGTGTTGTTTGTGTTTTGTTTGTAGAAATTATATAAGCTACTATACGTTGATTGTACAAACTATGACAATATAAGATGACTCATTCAGAGTAAGCATCACTTATAGTTTCAATTTTTTTATTATACTTTTATTTAATTTGTCTCAGTGATGTCTTGGTATGTATATTTGTTTTTAGAATTTATCTCATTGATGACTTAGACAGTATATTTGTTTTTATGGTGTTTTAAATTGTCTCTGTGATGAATTAGTCAGTATATTTGTTTTTACAATGTCTTAATTTGTCTCTGTGATGACTTAGAATATTTGTTTTTACAATGTCTTAACTGCATAGACTTGATTGCTAATAACCAAATACATTAGATTTATTAGTCAGATATAATAGATTTATAATTTTTTGTTAAAAAAATTCTTATTACGAGTTTTTTTTTTCTAATATAAATCTAGGTTTATGAAGCTGTGAAAAAAATGTCATTTGGAAATATAAATATGTGTAGTTTTAGAATATTAAAAATGTATTTTGCTGATGAGGTTTATTTAAAATGATATTTATGATATAGGATACATATTAAAATTCAATTTTAATAAATACATAGTAAAGTATGACCTTAGTACTTTTGATCTCTTTTAATCTTACCTGTACAAAAATTGGTGCATTTTGTATCCTCAAAAATATAGAAATTCATTTGTATTCTGCATATCAAGTCTTGTATATCTTTGAGAGTGCACTAGTACTCTTTTTAGGGTGAATGCGATAAAAAAATATGACCACCACTATTGCAATGATACATAAACTCAGATGAAGTTTCTACTCCAAAAGCCACCATAAGGCTGATGTTAAGAACCGTTTCTTGAGTTATACCCACTTCCTACTTTGACTTGTGACCTTACTACTTTGACCCATAAAACACTTCTGTAGCCAATGGCCATCAACTAATTAATAACATGAAACAGTGTAGAAGGACATAAACAGCTGGGTGTTGCAAGCAGGTAACAGAAAGCATACCTCCTGCCACTACTTTGGCTGCCTCCTTTTTCCTACAAAGTCACTGTGACCATCCTACAGCGTGTACTATTTTTTAAGTACATACATAGTGAGTTATTCAAGCTTATACAAAACTTTTGGTGAGATGATAATGAATACTGTAATAATATATTATGTTATAAATAAATTGTGTGAAAGCTTGGATTTTTGTTTTATTTAACATATAATATAATATTTATTTTGCATATATATAATTTGAGCACTTTAAACTTTGTGATTACTTTCTGTTTTACAACTCAGTTAAGACTATAAGATAAATATATATATAGTACTTGCATATCAGATCATATCACTAATTATCAGATGCCTGATTTGCATAACAGTATTATTTATATATGTTTTTTAGTTTTTCGTAGCCATAAAAATACTATAAATTTTGATAATCTTAAACTTTCGTTATATTTAATATATATATATATATATTTAACATTATTTGTCTCATCACCAAAATCATGCATTTTGTTAAAAAAGATATGTGAGCCCCAATTTTCACTGTATAAAACAAAGGGTAATCAAAATGCATAGTATTTTTATAGCTATGAAAAACTAAAAAACATACATAAATAATACTGTTATGCAAATACTATATATATATATAAGTATCTCATAGGCTTATCTCATTTGTAAATCAGAAACTAATCACGAAGTTTAAAGTTCTCAAATTATTCCTGAACAATGGATAGGTTTGAAAGCAAACATCTGGATGTGTTACTCATGTGGAAGACCATCAGATTTGTGGAAGTTGACCACTAACAGCAGGTTGTTATAAATATGTTTCATATTTGCTAATGTCATTAGCAGAAGATGGAATCACTTCCAAGCCAATGATGTAATTCTTCAGAACCTCAATAAGACAGCAAATGTTATAAATTAGCTACAAGTTTATCAAAGTGTCATTAGCAGAAGGTGGAACTTCTTCCAAATAGACTGTTGTTATTAGAACCTGAAGGAAGCAATAAATATAAATTAGTTACAAGTGTATCAAAGTGTCATTAACAGAAGGTGGAACCTCATACAAATACTGTTGTTGTTCAGAGCCTGAATAAGGCAGCAACTGTTATAAATTAGCTACAAGTGTATCCAAGTGTCATTAGGAGAAGGTGGAATAACTTCTAAATCAATGGTCTAGTTGTTCAGAGCCTGAATAAGGAAGCAACTGTTATAAATTAGCTACAAGTGTATCCAAGTGTCATTAGGAGATGGTGGAATAACTTCTAAACCAATGGTCTAGTTGTTCAGAACCTGAATAAGGCAGCAACTGTTATAAATTAGCTACAGGTGTATCCAAGTGTCATTAGGAGAAGGTGGAATAACTTCTAAACCAATGGTCTAGTTGTTCAGAGCCTGAATAAGGAAGCAACTGTTATAAATTAGCTACAAGTGTATCCAAGTAGTCATTAGGAGTAAGGTGGAATAACTTCTAAACCAATGGTCTACGTTCGTTCAGAGCCTGAATAAGGTCAGCAACTGTTATAAATTAAGACTACTAAGTTGTATCCTAAGTTGTCATTAGGAGTAAGG